CTATACTTCTACCAATCCTTCCATGGGAAACATTGGGAAAGACATACTTCTTGTTGGTATTTGTATCTTACCTATACTTCTACCAATCCTTCCATGGGAAACATTGGGAAAGACATACTTCTTGTTGGCATTTATATCTTACCTATACTTCTACCAATCCTTCCACAAGATTCAAAGTGATAGACATAGTTCTTAATGGTGTCTTTAAGTTTTTATTAGAATAAAAATTATTACACTATTTCATTTTGAACATGATTGAATTTGTTACGAGATACACAAGTAGACTACACAAAACTCATTTGACAAAAAAATACATTTTTGTTTTCATTCATTTTCAATAAATAAAGTGTTATTTCAGATTCTTTTTTATGGCAAAGTGAAATTCAATTCAGTAACATGTTTGGATTTTGTTTTTCCAATCCAGCCTGATAAAAAATATTTACAAATCAGTACTGCAAAGTTGAGAAAAATACAGCTCTTGTCAGCAAGATGATGCAAGTTGAAAAGAGAAATTTTTTTTTATTTTTTTTTAATTCTCATTAAGAAATCAACAAGAATAATTTTACACTTAATCAGGTGATTTTAATAATTTAATCAGGTGATCTATCCTTCTAACAACTCTGCTCGTCAGCTTATTTATACCGTAGAATTAGATTCTTCTGAAATTTGACCATGATTAAGCTCAATATCAAGACAGCTGTTCTGTAATTTTCCTTTAATACAGACTATCTCATCCTTCACAACACTCATGCTGTCATTAATAATGATGGCCGCTTGCCTCCAGTGTGGCTCTTCATCTAACGTTGATATTGAGTATTTCTTGTCCAAATGGATTTCAAACCAGTACGGTATTGCTGTGACATTGCCGCTTTCACAAACTGGTATATGTAAAGATGAGTAATTTTCCAAGAAAGGTGGAAGGGTGTCAGATTCCGGATTGATTGGGGCATCAAAGTCCAACTCAAACAGCTTGAATGGTTCAGTCAGTCTTCTGTGCGGTAGAGTTGACAAGTCAATCTCCTGGTGGGTGGACGTCTGGAACAGCAGAAACAAAAAGAGTTACAGTAACAAATAATTATCAAAATCAGCCAATCACAAGTCATTTGTAAATATATGTATAGTTCATATTCAAGATTAAAAGAACAAAATAGGTGATTTTCCGTACAATTGCGAGATCTCGCGAGATGCATGAAAGACGCGCGTCGAACGTCTGCCGCAAAAATCAAACGATTTGATTTTGAACTAGAATTTCTTTATTTCGTAGCTCACACCGATCGGCCGATCTTCGACAGAGGAATATTGCTTCCAAATACCCTTACTTAATCGAAATTGCCTATCATCAAATGTGGACAGCACATTATTAAGCATGGAAATGTCCCCGAAATACTTTCGCGTTTGTCGAATCCCACGCAATGTTTGACGCGACTACGACGCTATGACCTTTGTTTGTCCTGTTTTTACGTTCGATTTCACGCATAACGTGTGATTCTCGCAGTGAACGGAAAATGGTCTATTATTAGACTATTCATGTGACATGAAGAAAACATGAAGAAAAATAGCAATGCAAACAATTACAAAAAAGTTGCAGCGAATGTCAAATGATAACAAGTCACAGTGTAACTCTGACCTGGAATATATTCATAAATGGTGCAATATGCAATCCTAATGTTCTATCGTTGTCAATAACACCACTCTCTTGTTGTAATGTACATGACTCAATACACACTGCATATATTGTCAAGCCATATGGACAAACACAGCCACCTGGTTTTAAGATAGTAGATCTGGAAAATACAAAATTAGACATCAGTGAATTAAATGATTCCAAGAGTTCAGAGATGAAGTCTCATCATTCATAACATTTCTTAGAGTAGAATTGATTGGAAAACTAAACCTGATAGAAATCTGTTATCATGAATACAGCTGCTGAAGTGATAACATTATCTTGGCTGAGTGACGCATTATACGATACATGTGACTGGGAGAAACAGCCATTACAAATTGACACTGATGACACAGGAAATGAATAATTAAAAATAAAAGAAGAGAAAAAAAACAATAGTTGCAGCTATTGTCTCATTCATAAAAACATAATCTTCATTTGACAATATTCAAAATAATCCTGTTCCTAATGTAACCTCTGTTACAGATACAGTTACAGTTCATTGCAAAATGAAAGCACATCAGGTCAAAGATTTTTATGTTGTGGGAGATGAGGTTATACTAGGACAAGCACTAAAAGTAGTGAAAGTACAAGTTTATAGCAAGTAGTCCTGCATCAACTTTATCATTATAGTGTCTATGCAAACACTAAAGTTTGATAATACAGAATTAGACATCTAGACTTTTACAAAGAATTTAATAATATATCTAATGGCCATACCCAAAAAATGTATCACGAAAACTAAAAAGACTATCAAACATCACCATAAGTGCTATGAATTAGCTTGGCTACAATAATTTGTTTACATTCCAACAGCCAGTAATAAAATTGCTGATCATATCAAAACTCACTCACACAAGAAATTGTATGGATTGATTGAGTTCTCATATAAGTTGGACATGCTATCTCTGAAGGCCAATCAAAGACTGGCTCATACTTACTTGGCAAATGCAATATCCTCCAATACCCTTTGTTTGAGTATACCAGTGACATCGATGACATCTGTAACCAAGACATCCACCATTTCATCATCTTCTCCTTCACCATATACCAAGACTACCTCAGCTATACCATTACACTTTGCAATATGTTGCAAGGCTTGCTGGGATTTCTGTGACTGGTTTGTGGTAATTACTTTGGTGGCCCCTGCTTTTGCAGCATGTACACCGGCCAATGATAGTCCTGATGTCATATCCATGATTACAACATCGGAACAAGCTTCAGCTGTTTCATTTGTTGCCTCCTCATTTTGTGCCACACCCTTTTGAGTCTGCTTTCTCCGATTCACGACTTCATTTCTGACAACCTGGCACCACAGGTCCTGAAACTTAACGTGATTTATTGCTGCGATTTCCTCTGACGTCACGCTGAAAACTTTGACAGAATGATCCGCTTCTGGCTGGGAATCGCTTTTATCTGTCCTAACAGAATCACCAGAAGCAGACACAAGTTTGGTATCAGGCAATTTACTTGTAGAAGATTTGTTGCAATGTTTGCCTTCTATCTTATGACCACTCTTATCCAAACTTGTCGGAGATCCAACTGTAGTGTGACATGACTGACTAGATTCTATTCTAACTATTTTAAAGTTTAGAGTATTATTAATGCAGGCACCTTGAATCGTGATACAGTCACCCTTAGAAATATACCCAACGCCTGTAAATAGAAATATGGTGATACTATAGTTAGCTTTCCTAGGAATGACTTGTTTGTGAAGAGGAATGTTTATAAACATTATAATCCTAGTCCCCTTATTTTATTTGGCTAGATAATTAATTATGGAGTTTAGTACATCCATTATCAATTTCTAAAACATATAATAACTTTTCCTTAGTGACATACTCAAGTTGAAAATGGATCAATATCAAATCAAGTCAAGTCAAGTGGGTTGTTACATAGAAAATGGTGATAAAGTGGTGGTGCGATACCACAGCTTCTCCATGTTACAATGTCATTATCATACGTAGTTGCACCGATTTGTAGTTTTAATGATAAATTATTTTGAACCCCCTCCCCATAGAAACTTTGTCCATACTAAATTACCTGGTTTACAGTGACTGGGATGCACAGGAAATACTGCTTGCTCCCAACATGAGTCACCATCTGGGGACGTACTAATACTCGTATCTTTATCAAGGTGTAGATGAAACCAACAAACAATAGCATCAACACGTCCCGTGGCTATGGCTGGTACAGCATACTCCCTCACTGGGCCACCAGGTTCACATGATTGTACAAGCTAAAGACAAATTGAATTTCAGCAAAGCAAGTTTATGGTCAGGGTCTAAACCTACATTTATAACTCTTTACACATGAATCAATATTCTACGTAGTCATGCAAACTATTTTTGATGAATGGCAAAAACTAATGATAACTGTATCCAGTAGTGGACTAACAAAATATTGGGTAGGCAGATGGAGTTGATATTTTATTTTATTTATTTTTTTTAAATTTTATCACAATCATGCATTTAAATACAGATTTAAGATAAAGAAAGAACGACCACCATGTTAGTCATTATAGTAGAATTCCTAACAGTGATGTTCCAGTCATCCACTACATCTAAGGAAGTAAATGAACAAAATCAATTTCTGTGTATAGGAACATGGCTAATTTGCATACAAATTAAATAAATATAGACTAATTTGCGTAGAATAAAAATTTGCGTTTCACCAAAAATGAGGGTTGTTAGGGTTATCAGTAAAGAAATTATGTTTTTTGATATGCAATTACTGACACTGGCAATGGTCCTGACAATTACCATGACACTGTGGTATAATAAAATGTATTTATTTTTTTAACTTTTAAATCAATGCCTATTTTCTCTCTGGACCTTTTTATATATGCACTATCCCATAATCAACCTGGCCTGCTTGAACAAAATCTTCTGCAGATTCAAATCAAGCTATCTCTCGCCCATAGGTAGCACACAATAGCGAATAAATCACAGCTTGCCTACCTGCAAGAGTACCTGAACAAACTGAACATTCATTGGGAATTACCTGTGGGTTATTAAAATCAAAGTTGATTGTCTGAAATTCACCAGTTATTGGAGTATATCCACCGTGTACTCGCTGCAGTATCTCACTTGAGTATGGTTCTACTGATATGGTTGCATCGCCGTCATTACACTGTCCCATCATGCAAGGGCTGATGATGTCACAGCATGTCAAGTCAATGTCATCAACGGCATCAACTATGACCCTGTAAAATGTGGGTAAATCAGAAAATGCAGTAGATAGTGTGAAAGACATGGTCATCTTTGGGATGTTTTAATCCAAATTGTCATTGAGGCTACCGGGGGTAGGTGACGATTTTGAATACAAATCTTAAAATAGAAACCAAGGCACATGATCTTCTATGTATGTATCAGGTTTGTGCAAAATCAACCATACAAACCTGAGATCCAATAGAGAAATGGTAAATTGTAAACTATTCAAAAAACACATTTTTGATTAATTTAAAAAAATTACCCAACCCCTCTTGCTGAATTTTGAGGATTTCTGAATAATTTTTGTAATTGTAGCTACCTTAATATATCACTGTAAATTTCATACAACACGTTTAAATTTAAAAATCGTCTATATTTTGTTTACAGTAATATTACCGATGTTGCTTTCGTAACTCTTGACATTCAATGACTTGTGCAAAGACTGTAGCTCCAGCGGGGATCACTTGAGGTTTTAACTGTAATAAAACAAAATTACTATAAAAGTACTATAAAATACTTAAAGGAGTGATTCAAGGAATAAAATCCAGTAAATATCCCCTTTTTCCTATATTTTACATTTAAGTCACCAAAAATTAGTGAAAATAAATTCCATATATAACAGCAAAAATGAATTCCAGCTAAAATAAAGTATTTTACAGTATGACAATTTCCATTTTGTGATTAATGTAGAGTGATCATGTAGCTTGAGTTCAAATTTCATGGAAACAATGCATCTTACACGCATTGATTACATAGCTATGGGACCCATATCGAACACAACATGGTGAGACAATCACCTTTCTTTTGAGGTTTTCAATTTGCAATAAATTCATTATTTTTAAAAATTTCACATTGTGTATTTGATATGCCAGAATGGGAAAACATATTCAATAAATCTTGGTCATCATTACCTTATTTCCTGTGTTGTCTTCTATCAACAAACGCTTCCATGCATGACTCAATGTCTGAATAATATTCTCTCCCAACAATCCAGAATCTACAGTCTCCGTGACAACCAAGGATACCCTGAACACAAAACATTCAATATTACATTACATTCTATTAGAGCACCTAAACATATGAGAAATGATGAATTTTTGGTTTTCAATTATTCAAAAAGAATGGGTGCTACTTCTATTAGGGATGTGGATTCTAATACAGATTTTACAGTACATAGCTTCTTTACAGTAGAATTTAACACATCTGAATATTGCTATTTTAAAAAAGCTATACATTGTATCTTTCTATTATTATATTTTTTCCATCTTAAACAGGTTTTGAACTTGAAAAATAAGTGAGAAATTGTTCATCAATAATGAATATGCCAAGATGTGTGACCTTTGGAAGTCATATAAAATGCCAGGATGTGTGACCTTTGGAGGTCATATAAAATGCCAGTATTTGTGACCTTTGGAGGTCATATAAAATGCCAGGATATGTGACCTTTGGAGGTCATATAAAATGCCAGGATATGTGACCTTTGGAGGTCATATAAAATGCCAGGATGTGTGACCTTTGGAGGTCATATAAAATGCCAGGATGTGTGACCTTTGGAGGTCATACCAAATTCATATTTAGCGGCAGCTACATACAAGTAAATCTCGAGTTTATTGTAGATGAAATCAAGTCTGGATTTGATAATTTTAGATTTAAATAAAACCCATGATGTGACAAAGCTGAAAACAGAAAGTACACACATGGAGTTACTAACATCATACCTTTGTGGAATATCCTTAGGTATGACAATATCTTTCGATGACGTATGTAATAGTGTCACTTTATCTGACATGCGGTTGGTAGTTAACACATCCTTTGCCATTTCATATGTCGTCTTTGACATTTCACAGGCATATACATGTTTAGCACCAGACTGTATTGCCAGCATACTGGGAAAGAAACACATTATTACCACAATAAAAATAGGGACGTATTTTATATTTTTTTAAATATATATGCACATAATATTATTCACCAGGTTTTAATATTGCCTGGAATGGTAAATCAGCAAAATTTTAACCCAGTGAAAATTAGCCATTTTACAGTAAATATTTTGAAAATAATTGTACCTGTTAATCACTATAGACTAAGATTTATAAGACATGTACAGATAACAAAGTACAGTGATATGCAACGAAAATCTCACAGGAAGCTTGTTTTTTGTGATTATTGAAAGAGATCACATTTTGTGTGTGTCAATTGAATGTACGGTATTTCTAACCAACACATGACGGAATGCAGTGGGAAAAAAAAGGTTAGAAACACAAATGAGCAGGAATATGCAGCTGTATTCAAATATCACTGACAATGAACATTAATAATCAGTTCTTTTACAGATTCACAAATATCAACTTTTGGAAATGTATGTTTGTCTCGCAATCTTCTCCAAGTCACACAAGATCATCATTGCATATCACACACATACATATCCACCCCCGAAAAAAAGATCAACATCTTTCCTTGTTGGCGAATGCTTCAAACTCAAAATACATCATTGAATAGTGACATCAATGTGAACAACCAACCTCAATATTCCGGTGCCTGCACCAATATCCAGCACTGTGTCATGGCCATCTTGTATTGCCTTTCTGATTGCACTTTGAAAAGCATGATTTCTAACTTTGTCATTCAGCATTCTAAAATGCCATCTTTCTATCAGTGCCGAGAGTACATTCTGTAGATTGTCCTTTGCATCCAGGAAACCTGGATTGATTCGTAAAGCTTTCCTGAAACAAGATGCAGCTTCGTCTTTGAATCCAAGCCTGAAAGTCAATTGTGAGTGAAATATTACAAATATGGTACAAATATCAGGTAAATTCACCCAAAGGTTATGCCATCATTGAGGTATGAACCCTCTCTATGACTAGAAATAAGACTTACATGTTTGAGAAGATAAGTTTGATTCCATGTTCACAGTATAAACTGTGACCATTATGGTGAGCGGGAACAGAGACGAAATTTATATCAAAATAGTGAATGAAACCAGGTTTGTTATGATTTCATTTGTAAGTATGACTGGAAATTTACAGGTTGTTTTTCATGTGAAGTTGTATTATAAATATTTCGCAAATTTCCATAAAGCAAATTCATACTTCAATGAAACACATTGTATACCATTGTATAAATGTAAATGCTTTTAACAGAGGAATTGATATAAACTATTAATTATTTTAATGTATTTTTCCCAACAAAAGTTTTGTTCAATATTAAAATAATTCATTTAAATTATTATTAATGGTCTTTCGCATATTGATATCACCCCCCTCCTCATTATCTGTGAGCCAACACAATGCTACAAATGACTAACACGATCCTATCCTACCTGAATAGTGATGATCCCATATCATTGAATATCATCTCGTTATCCGGCAATACTTCACTGGCTTGCTCGTAACATCTAAACAAGTCTGAAACCCTGCTCAAACTCTCTAGTGTATCAGTCCAATGCTGCAATGTAACGATGAAATTATGTTCCACGTCTGTTTTCCACTCTGGAGCTAGTTTTAAAACTAACAGGAAATTGGCGAACGCTTTCCCAAAGTCTTCATTCTTATAATGTTTGTCTGCAACATTTAACGATTTTAAAGCCAGTGCATATTTAGCGGCTTCTTGATTCTGGCGACGGTCCATTATAAGCAGAAGGTGATGTGTCCTTATAAATAAAACAAAATAACATAGTTAGTGTACATAGGCATCCTGTTGCCTAACAACATGGTCTGTCTCATCCCTATGGTCTCATCATCCTTGCTTATCAAAACACTGTTATCACTGTGATCAAAACGAAAGTATACTCGAAATTAATAATAATCAGAAAAATTAGGACAATTCTAGTTAGTCCATGCTCTCAACACTCACCCAATAACATATGTGCATTTCTTAAGTAGACAATTTTGTAAAATCTTCACTATCGAAATCCTTATCAGCAAGACAAACTTGAATTTCCCGTACAGGAAAAGTAGTCAAAGTAAAGCATTGTGGGTCGAACTGCCTATCTTGTTGTAAATGAACACCAAAGGTTAAAGGTCATCAATATTTTCAGATAACTTAAAAGGTTCAGTCGAGTCTGTGTGTCCTCGCTTCTGGGCTCTGTTTGGATTTGTTTTTTGTCCGTATACCCTGACTGTGGCTTCAACATGGTTGTGCCAGATCCAAACCCCACAGTGAACACTCATACAGTAGCGTTCGGATCGTTTGGCTTTTTTTCATCAGTAGTCAACAATGGATTAACGAGGAGGCCTCCGCTGAGTGGTAAGAAACTATTCTGGAAAATATTGTTCTCGAATGACATAGGTCACGTCAAGCGAAGCTCTGTTCATTAAAATGTGTTGAATGTTTATAATAATATGCATTTGTATTTCTCGTAGACTATTGCACTGATAGGCAATGAAACAAAAAAAAATCGTTAAACAAAAACAAATCGTTTAACAGGTTTTGTTCGCGTGGACATTATGTCTCGCACGGTGGACCGAAACATTAGCGCCCTCTATTTTTATTGCACGCACGTACACAAACTTTCTGTACATGTGCATGGATACTTCTCATGATAGAAGCCTAATCATAAATGAAAATACCCAGAGTTAGCGGGACCAGCGCAATACAAACGTGACCTTGATAATAGGATTGTGTTCAAATAATAGAAGCTGACATTTTGGACTAACATTATGTAATTGAAACACAAAATATAAGTATTAGAGGGATTACAAAAGAGGCTATAGTTAATATGGGCCGATAATTTGCTGGAGCTGTTGGTAAATTTATGTAATTGATTTTGCTGTGACAATGTATACATGTATGAACAATTATGTGAATATGGTGTTGTGTGTTATAGGAAGTAGATGATGTCTCAAGTCTTTTGGTTATGTCATTTGAATCAAGAGGGGGAGGTTAAAGTACTTGATCGGAAAGAATGATTATATTTGTTCTTTGGCAGTGAATGGCTTATTTGTACTTGACTGTGACCCACCCACCACTCGATTGTAATTTGGCCAGCTGCTATTAGACATCACTCAGCATAGAATAGAATAAACGTCTGTAATGAACAAGGAAAAAATAAAGTTTTTATTTTTTATCTTAACCATCAATATACAACAAGTTCGAGTAAGAATAAAGTAAAAAGTTGAACCAATAGGAGATACAGGTGATGGTTGAATTATCTCGCCTGGAAGAAAATAAAAAAACAAGTGGTAAGGATTATATATTGTAATGAATGATTTGAGTAAGGTGTTCAGTAGAGGAATGTTCAATAGGAAGAACATTGTTTAAATGATTGGACTTTCCATAAATGAAATCTTGAGGCACATTGTAAATAACTAGTGAGAGGATGCTGAAAGCACTACCGTACATTCAAGCATCCTCTCAATGAAAACACAGGTTATGCACATTTACGTTATAATGAGGTAAATTAGTGTTGTAAACGGAGTGTCATGATTAAATCTGGTATGATGTGCATGGAACGACTCATGGTGCAAAAGCAGATAAGTGTTGACGGAAGACCCAAATGATAGGTATCACCACCGACCAATTTGGTAGTAGTCATATTGCCGAAAATACTATATCTTGTTGTTTTCAATAAGTATATGTGCAGCAACAATAAACTGTACAAAACCAGTAGTTAACTGTTTACAAGACAGTATTATAGACCCATATCATGCAAAGTTACAGGGTGTTGTACAAATATACCCCCTTACTTTTAGGCTTTTGTATGTTCATCCAACTGTCCATTCAGAATGAATAAGAAATAAAGTAGGTGCAAAGAGACTATATGGAATGTAATTGTACTTCATAGAGTTATCAATGATGATATCAATCCCATCAGACTGATAGAACCGGTGAAAGTAATGAATTTATCGCATGGCAATGGTAATGTGTCATCTGATATATAACCGTAGTGAATTGACCATGTGCAAAAACAGCATTGTTGGTTTGCATAAGACAGCCCACACACATGCTATAAGGAGTAAAATCCTGCTATCACCAATGACAGGGCTGTAAATGAGTCATGGACCTGTTTGTACAGAATCCCAGTTCATCCCTCATTATTTATGTGGATCATATTAAAAAGATCTCAAACCATTATGAGGCCAATGAAAAACAAATTTGGTGTTTGGGTAGTTAGGCAGGGATTTTATTATTTTAGATTTATTTTTTCCCCAACATGTTCAGTCTATATCAAATACAATCATTTTAAACAATTTTTTTTTACATGATATTACTATCAAATTTTGTTTATTTTAGAAAAAGGTAACTCATTTCCATAAAAATAAAAATAATAACAAATGACAACACATGTCATTGTTTAAGGTTGAGGTGAGTGGCATGAACTGTTGATCGGTGGCACCATTTCAAAAATGGCAGCTGGCAACAGAAAAACATTCACTGATGTACATGTGTATGTAGTGAGCGCAAGGAATTGGCCCCTATCAGTTTCTGCCTAATAAATGACAGTTATGTACATTCCTGCTGTGGCCATTTACCTACAATAGCAACAACACAAGCATGATAAAAGCACTCTGATGTACACATTGCAGCTCTTGCTGTTTCTTGCATGTGACAAAAATCCGCCTAAATCGCAAGAAACTTGTAGTGAGCCAAACAATGATCATGAAAAAGTAAGAATGAATACAGCCAGCCATGCCAATGTGGTGAATCAAATGCAATTCCTTGCATGACTTTCTGCTCAATATTATACAGTGTGTGGTAACCTCTGCCGAATAATCAATGGTGTGGTCACAAATAATCATGAAGATTAATCATGATCAGATACTTCATAGACACTATAACTTCACATTAATGGGCAAAGACTATAAATCAAATCCATGGCCCTAGACATGGCTACATCCGAGGTCATCATTTTGCCAATGCCATTCTTGCATGTCATTATTGCTGGTTGCATAAACTAGACTATTAATGTACAAGTATTTACACATATCGGCCTTAATTGGTTTTAGATGTTATTTTATTGAGATGCATCGCGACAACTGTGGCCGTGAAGGACCGGTAGGTTAGGTAATTGTTACTAGTCGCACCGTGCACACACATCATATGAGTTCACAGGCCATAGGCCTAGTAAATCACTGTCATCATTTATATACGATGCAATATTTATTTTTGGTCATTCGTTTCTCTGATTCATGACATCATGTGCCAATAAATCCTGAAAATTGGCTTTGCTAAGCGATGAGTCGTTTAGTACAAAACACTGAATGATCATAGCATGGTGTGCAGAGTTTTAGAGGTAAAGCAATTGTTAAGAATATATTAAAATTTGTGGAAAAGGGCAAATGCTCTTACCTTTATAGTACAATGTCTGTACGGCGTCCTGGGCTGGC